CCCAGGAGCCCACCCTCCTACCCTGAACTCCAGCTATCCATCGACCACACCGTCAGCACGGAGGCATGGGGAGGCTGGCCCCTTCCAGGAGCTGCTCTGTTCTGCCATAAAGCCTCCAAGTATAACTCTGAGCCTCCTTTGTTTAGTGGAGGTGTATCACATTTAGCTTGTTTTGCTCTTCTAATGGGGTCATAAATTGCCAAAAGATGGTGAGGTTCTGGTTTAAAATATCTGTCTAATTGACAAAGATTTTCTTTCTGACTAGTACATACTATTTTTAAGATATGAACTCTACTGATAAATCAAAGTCTTTTTATCTTAATTTTCTTTAACTTACCTGCACGCTTCCTTTGCTGACTGACTCCTAAAGATTGTTCTTCAAGTAACATTTGTTAGTAGGATGAACCAGAGGAATTGGCATTTTTGTAGGTCAAAAATGGTTGAATATCAGCAATTTCACGTGATTTAAGTACGTACTGTCTGCAGTTTACATGATAGAATTAAACTGGACACAACCAAACACCTTGAGCCAAGTATCGTCAGAGCTGCACTGTGAATAGTTGGCACAAGCGGAGCCCATCCCCTGAAAGTACATTTTTGGAGATCTATTTATACAGGCATTTTTAAGTTATAGGCCTGGAGGATCCCTGACAGGCTCTCTGTTTTAACTCCATACTTCTACACAGGATTACAGCGAAATTGTCCCAAAAAAGATAGGATGACCCCGCATATGATTTTTTTAATTGTAGTTTTAAATTATAAAATTTTAAAAATAAGTTAAAAGGCCATAGTATACTACCAGATACCCATGTATTTATCATAGATTTAGCATGCTTGCATACTTGTTTTTTAAGGTATTAGATGTTCCAGTGTGTTGTAGGCTGCCCAGCCCTCCACGCTCGCCTTCTCCAGAGTTAGCGTCTCTCCTGACTTGGATGGGTGTCCTTGCTGCTCATGTTTGTATAGCCTTGCTGCCTATGTGTAGATCCTAGACAAAATAAAGTATTTGTAGATTTTTAAAAATTCATATACGGTGGTATGCAATTTATATATACTTGCAACTTGCTTTTTTATTGGTCACATTTTAACTACACCAATTGACGGGCGGTTCGGACTCTTTCACTTTGTTGTTGGTTTTGTAATCACTGCCAGTCATACCCTTTCACAGTCTCCTGTGCGCATGTCAGAGAGTTCTCCTGGCGGGCAGATGGCTAGAATAGGAACAGCTTCATATTTCTGCATGTTGCCAAATTACTCTCTAAAGGCGCTCTACTTCTTTCCTCGCATTCTTACTAATGTTTGATATTATCAAACTTTTTAATTATTGCGAGCCTGTTGGGTAAAAGAAAAAATGGCATCTTATTTGAATTAGTAAGGAATTTGAATGTCTTTTCAAGTGTTTATTGGCCAGCGGGAAATGCCCTTCTATGATTTACCTCCAAATGGGTCAGTTTTCTGTTGGGTCGTGTGACTTTTTCTTACTGACTTGTCAGAGTTCCTTATTATATTCTGGGAAGCAGCCCTTTGTATGAAGGAGCCCTAGTGGCATGCAGTGGTTAAGCACTCAGCTGCTACCTGAAAGGTGGGTGGTTCGAACCACCAGCCGTTCCACGAGAGAAAGACATGGTAGTCTGCTTCTGTAAAGATTACAGCCTTGGAAACCCTATGGGGCGGTTCTTCTCTGTCCTATAGGGTCACTATGAGTCAGAATCAACTCGACTGCAATGTGTTAGTGGGTAGCCCTTTATAGATTATAAACTGAAAATATTTTCTCCAGTCTGTAACTTGCCTTTTGGGGTCTTTTATAGGATTCAAAGTTTTCGTGTTAATGTAATGAATGGTATCCATTTTATCCTTCTTGTATCTTATTTTAAAGGGCCTTCTCTACCTTGAGGTTATAAACAAGTGTTCCTATATTTCCCTTTACCACCACTGGAGATATTCTATAATCTACTTTTTAATTCATATGTAATTTATTTCAGAGTATGGAATGAAGAAGGACCTGGACATCATTAAAAATATTTTTTAACTGTAGAGAGAGAGTTACAGTAGAGAAGAAAGTCAGCTCAGGACTGAGCGCTGGGGCCCTCCCTCCCATCAGGGTCTAGAGGATGAGGCAAGTGTGAGCAAGGAGACGGGAAAACAGCAGTGCTGTCGAAATGCTAACTGCTGGTCCCATCCTGGTCCTGGTTCCACACTGCTGGTCCCACATTGGTCCCACACTGGTCCTGGTCTGACACTTCTGGTCCCACGCTGTTGGTCCCATGCCAGTCCCACTCTGGTGGATGCTGGGAGCCCGGTAAAGGTTGCTGTGACAAGGCCCGGAGTGCAGGCTGTTTGTTGTGCCAGCAGACTTCACAGCTCACTCTCTTTCACATCCAGATGAATGTTGAAAATGCTATTTATAGCCTCTCTCACTCTTACTGCACTTAACTCACGATGACCAGAGTAGATTTAACCAAATAAATATGTACGGAGTTTGGTGTATAGCAGTCTGTCATCATTGTAATCACATTGTCTTAATACATGTGAAGTTTGGAGATAGCAAAAATGAATAGCTGGACAACCACAAAAATACTTAGTTCTGGACTCTCCCCATCCATGCTTAGCATTGTGTTTGTTGGAACATCTTCTTATAATTGCTATGAAATGTTCTTTTCAAAAAATAATTGGAAAATTGCAGATGTGATTTCTCAAGCACTGTAATGACTTGCAGGATGTTTTGGAGATGTTTCAGCACAGAGAGTCATATTACAGAGAATGTAGGGCCAGGAGGTACATACATGCATCTCCTCCCCCTGGCCATTTTCATAAGTGAAGTAGCTGAGGTTGTCTTGATCTGCCGAGAGCCCCAGGGCTATGCCATAGAGGCTGGCCCTCCACTATCCTCTCCCCTCCTGGCCCTCTGCCACTGCTCCAAACGCTGCTGCAACTATTTCTGTGTTGAATGGAATGAACCATGTGACAGCGTGTTAGGAAGGCACGCTGAGTCAGTCATAAAGACATGCCTTGGTACATCCTGTCTTGTCCCTAACACTTTTCTATTTATCATATCTTCCTTTTGAACACAGCTCAGATTTCGTAGTGCTCCTTTTTTGTAGCCATTAAAGCTTAACATCTGGGAATTTCAGCTTCCAGGGAATACTTAACCTTGCCATACTTACCATCAAGTTGAAATGCAATTGCATGGAGTCCGTTGAATTTAACATTTTTCCTTAATGCTTTGTAAGATATCCTTACCCATCTCAAAGTAAATGGAGTGAAATCAGATGCCATAATGTTCTTTGGCTTTTTAAAGAACAGTGTGCATGAGAGAGACACCTTTTTTATTGTTGTTTCTACTGCTCTTTAAAAAATGATTTGCCATTGAGGGTCAACCATAGGCTGAGAATTGTGTGTAAAGTAAATACTGTCATAAATACTGTTTAAACTAACAACAGGTTATCTTGTTCATTAAACCTGCTTTTCCCTGAAAGAAGTTTTTCTGAGTTAAGAAGCAATTTTGAAGCTGTGAACAATGTCATCTGCTAATTTCAGGTGCTGTCGTTTTGCTCTGTATAAATATTCAAATACATTCATATACGTTGAAGCCCTAGAGTGTTTACTGAGCTCCTTCAGGAAGATAGCCCGGATTCTTCTGCAGAGGGGGGTATCTGGGAGGAGCAGTGGTATGTAGCTCAGTGGTGGAGAATCCAGGCTTTGTGGGCCAGCCACTGTAGGTACTTGAAGCTCAGTGGGTTCACCTGTGAGAATAGGAGTGTTGACAGAATCTTGGACAGTTAAGTGGGTATCTGAAGGCGTTTAGACCAGTATCACAAGAACAGTGTAAGTATTTGTGAAAAAATCTGTAATGCTTTTAATACATGCTATGGCCTTTATGGCGTAGTGGTTACGAGTTCAACTGTTAACCAAAAGGTCTGCACTTCAAATCCACCAGGCGCTCCTTGGAAACCCTATGGGGCAATTCTGCTCTGTCCTATAGGGTCACTATGAGTCAGAATCGACTCAACAGCAATGGTTTTTTGTGTTCATGGCCTTTATAGCAGAGTCTTTAAGATCTTGGTCCCCATAGTAATAGTCTTTAAGATTTTTACTGTTAATATATTTTAAGTAAGCTTTTTGGAAAGTGTGTTATAAAATCGTTTTCATTACGAGAATCAATCTTGGAATGAACAGTGAGGACCCAATACAGGACTTCAAGTGTCCACTTTCCCAGTGGACAGAGTGGTGGCGAGTAGGAGGTCGTCCCCACATCATCCGGAGCCTCAGCTGAGGGAGGATGCGTGGTGGGTCTTCGTGCGAGTGAGTGGAAGCCAGGAAGTCTTGGTTCTTATTTTAAACCAAAATTACAAGAAAAACACTGTGGATTTTCAAACCTGTGCCAGTGCCTGTCCGTCTGTCAGCTCTCAGACTGCATGCCTGTTCTCGAGAGGCCCTCCACACAGCCCTTCTCCTGGTCAGTCTTCATCACGGAAGTCTGCTTACACCCTCACAGCCCATGTCATCATGTGGGAGCGTCTTCCTCTCAAGTATTCTTGTTTAGAATCTGGCATGCAGGAGACATTCAATTAATAGTTGTAAAATGAGTGCACAATATTAACACCCATTTCAAGTATTTATTCCCAATAAAACATTGCCTGACTTATTTCAGACGCATAGGATCTCTCTTCTCTGAGGGCCCACAATACTTTTCTTCCTTAACCATGTACTTAGAACATCCTGCCTTTTTCTGTTCCATCTTGTATTATAGACTGTGATTAGCAACAGAGCTGTGGATTATCCATTTTACTGTCACCTCAGACATTATCTGGGGGTGTAAAATATTTGTTGACTTAAATGTCAGCAAATTCACTGAAGTCTAAAATCCAATATTATCTTTTTATCTCAATATAAAATTAAAGACAATTCCTATAAATAAACAAATGTATATTACAGCCTTGACTGAAAGTATTGCATGTGCTTGGATTGCACTAAATGCTGTGATGGGTTTTACTTGGCAGCTTGCGAGTGAACTTGGACATGGGCAAAGCAGCCTATGGGTGGATGATCATGAGGGACGAGCACATCCCGGGGACTGTTGTCCGCACCAGCACCATCCCTGAAGAGCTGGGGCGCTTGGTGTACTTAATGACAGACAAAACAGGTACTACCAGTAGTCTGTGTTTATCTTCTCATGGATTAGTTAACGTTCCATCAAAAACCATCATGCTATTTGTATGTCTACGTGTGTGTGTGTATATATGCATGTGATATAACAGAATATTGAATTCATATATTTAGAGTTTTTCAGACTTGTGAAAACTGCTACATAAACAATCTTTCATCTTCTAATATCCACGGTGTCATCACAATTCACAAAAAGTTACATTCCTGGAGATTTACATATTTCTGTTTTGAATTTTCTGCCATCTTACAGTTGCTTTTTTAACCGCCTTGATAACACCTCTCTAGTGGCATCTTAAGAGCAAAAATTGCATGTTTGCTTATTATAGTATGATACTGTGAGCTATTAGAAGAAAATAACAATAAGATATATGAATTTATATTTTGACTAAAGCATTCTCCTAAAGAGCTTTACCACAGACTATCTCACACTAATGCTCCATGCGCAAAATTCTGTTCATTTTTATTTTGTTGTTTTCTCATCAAAGGACTCTGTCAGTTTGTAACATAATAAAAGATAAATCAAATCCTGGACTATAATAAAGGACATGTCTGAGAGTTAAAATCACTCCTTGACTTATTGATTCATTATTTAAATTCTTAGTAATTCTTAGTGAACTAGAAATAAAAGAATATTTATTGAACATGATAAAGAAAATATGTCTGAAACAAAACTCAACCTCATTTTTAATAATGAAATAATAGAAAAATCCTTGGTTCCATCATAAAGGAGACAAAGAAGACTGCTAACAGCATTGTTATTTAACATTTATTATGGAAGTGCTAGCCATTGCAGTAAGACAAGAAATAGAAACAAGATATACAACTAAAGGAAGAAACAGATATTTGCAGATATAACAATCAACCAAGGAAATCAACTGATACCTGCTAAAACTAAGAAATCAGGGAAGTGGTGGCTCACAGAGTAAGATAACAAAACAACACCGTTTACACACAAGGGGAGAATAGACTCGTTCACAATCTCTTAAGTACTTCTAAGCTATATAGGCATCAACCTGAGGAATGTGTAGGGCATGTAGGAAGAAAATGACCAGACATTACTGACAAGTGTGAAAGAATAGATGGAAAAACATACTCTGGTCCTGAATGTGAGAGTCACGTTCTGAGATGTCAGCTCTCAGGGAATGTGGAAGTTCAGTGAGGTTCCAGTCAAAACCAATGGGGAGATGTTTTGTTTTGGTTTTGTTAGGACTTGTCTTTTGGAGGAGGTTGAGAAATTTAACCAAGTAAGGATAATACTTAATGACTCCAAATAACTCAGAAAAAAATAGCAATTTAGGAACTTTTGGTTTAAGAAGGTAGACTGAGAAAAAACATCAGAATTTTCCCTTCCTAATCTCATTGAACAGACTGGAAATACTTTCAAAGAACAGACCCGTAACAATATTAGATAACAATAAAGTGCCAGAAATTGAGTTATTTCTGGATCAACCAAAAACTCAGAATGAGATCCTACATAGATGCGAGAAGTTTTCCAGAATAGAATCCTAGGGAGATACCAAATTTGGAGCCAACAGTGTGCAGCGTGAGCCATGGTGTAGACTCCGGGCCAAAGGACTGCTTGGGAAACAGCCTGTCCGGTCCTCCTTTCCAGGCCTCAAAAAGCAGATGACTGCAGAATTTGTGCGTAGGCTGAGCCTTGATGATTGCTTCCTAAACAAGATGGAGTATCCCTTGTTAGCATGCCCTACCCGTTACACAGAGCCACAGACAGCCCTCCTACTCAGGAACTAGACCTTCTGAGGAAACAGATTTAAATAACTGGAAGAAACCCATACCTGCTTCTATACTAATCAGCCTTTATTCATAAATACAATCAGAAAACCAAGAATCACCAGCATGGAAGAAAGTGCCAGTGGGAACAAGTGAACTATTCCCAAGAAAACCCTAAAGAACTTACAGGAAAATTTTTAGAATTATAAGAGAGCTTAGTTTATATAAGCTCAATATTCAAATTAAACTGCATTTCTGTATACAGCCACAATTAGGAGATTTAATACCAAAAATGCCAATTAAAATAGCAACAAAAGGTATAATTAAAAAAATCCAAACAAAATGTATGAAACGTATATGGATATAAGTTTTTAAATTTGTGAAAGACATTAAAAGAAGACCTAAATAAATGGGTATGCATACTGTTTGCATGAATAGGATATCTTGATGTAACAAAGTTATCGTTTCTCCCAACATTAAAATGTCTGTTGTATTTGCAAGTACAGGAAGAATCAGAAATTCCCATTCACTATTGGTGGGAATGTAAATTGGCACAGCTACTTATTAAGACAATTTTGGCATTACCTAATCAAATGGAATATGCATATATCCAGCCATCAAGCAGTTTCACTCCTGGGTCTGTCCCCTAAAGGAGGTTTGCACATCCACACCAGGAAATATATACAAGAATGTTCACAGCATTGTTTTGGCTAACAAAAATGAACTGGATATAAAACAAAAAGTTTATCAGCAGTAGAATGGATAAATTGTGGAATGTTCTTACAGTCGAATACTAGACAGTATTGATAATGAAGTACAGACACTTATGTCAGCATGGATAGATTCAGAATATAATGCTAAAGAAAAGAAGTAAAGCACGGAAGAAAAGTTTAACCAGATTTCATTTATATAAAATTAAACACAAAAAATTAAACAATGTCATGTTTTAGGGGTAAGGAAGTGAAGAAACTATAAATAAAAGAAAGGAAAAAATATTTAGACAAATACAAACCGAAAGAAAGCAAGTATACCTACCTTAATATCAGCAAAATAATCTTTAAGCTACAAAGCATTATAAAGAAAGAGAGTCGCTACGTAATAATACACAATTCAATTCTAAATGTTTGTGCACTTAGCAAAATTGCCTCAAAATATATAAAGGAAAAAAATGTATAGACTACATTAAAAATTGGTAAATCTACTGTCAGCAGAGGACATTTTAACATCTCTTTATCTATAAGCCAAGCAGGCAGAACATTAGCCAAAATATAGAAAATTTGAATAACAATCAATTTTGATGTCACAGACATATGCAGAAGTCTTCATCCTATAATTAGAGAATGCATTTTCTTAATAAACATATATGCAATATTTACAAATATTGACACACACTTGGATATGAGCCAAGTCCCAACAAATTCCAAAGAATGGTTAGAGTTGATCACAATAAAAATTAGAGTTAATTTATTAATTTTAAGTTAGAAGTGAATAGCAGAGATTAATTTTTAAATCACCATAGTTTTGGAAATTAAAGAACACATTTTTAAATAATGCATGAGTCAAAAAAGAATTAATAGAAATTTAAAAATACTTCAAACTAAATGATAATAAAAGTGCTCCCTATCAAAGCCTGTGGGATGCACAAAAGTAGGGCTTTGAGGGAACTTCACAGCCTTAAATGCGTTAGTAGAAAAAGAAGAAAAGCTAAAAATTAGTATTCTAAATGGCCAACTTAAGAACAATAAAATAGTTCCCAAAGGAGTAGAAGGAAGATATTAAAGATAAAAACAAAAATCAATAGCATAGTAAAGAAAGATAAAGCCAATTGGTCCTTTGAAAAGACTTGGCAAAATGAACGTACTTCTGATGGTACTGATCAAGAAAAAAAGGTTATAAATGATAAAAGGCTCAAAGCTACAGATATAGCTGATATTTAAAGGAGCCATTAAGAGAATACGAATGTTTTACATCAATAAATTCAACAACGTGTAATGGAAAAATTCCCAGAATAATGTAAGCCATCAAAACTGACTCAAGAAGAAATAGTTTTAATAATCCTAAAACTATTAAAGAAATGTAGTTTTATAAAAAACTTTTGCATACCAGCCCTAGATAGTTTTATTAGTACTTCTGTCACTCTAGGCACACTTTCTAAAGTTTATACAAACTCAGAGAAGAGAAACGAAGGTAATATCCCATTGATATAATACGCTGAAGCCAGGCAAGGACAGACATTAAGAAAAATTAAAGCGTGTCTTTCATGTATGTCAATGTAAGAAATCCTAAACAAATTATTAGTAGCCCAAATCCAACAATATTTAAAAGTGGTAACACTGTGACCAAGTAGAATTTAACTTGGAAACAGAAAGATACTTTAATCATTCACCACACTTAGATTAAAGAAGAAAAACATTGATTATTTCAACAGATGAAGAAAAAACATTAGAAGCATTGATAAAATTCAACATCTATTTATTATTTAAAGAGAAAAATGCATAGTGAAATTCAAATACAGGGAGATGTCCTTAACCTGTTATAAACCTCACTAATGAATTCTTCCAATGTTTAAGAAAGAAATAACATCACTGATAGAGAAGCTTTTCCAGAATGTGGAAAAATAGGGAACACATTCTAAATTGTTCTATGAGGGAGGCTACCATAAACCTGATAATGACATTATAAAAAAGAAAAATTACAGGTAAGTCTTACACATTGACATCAAAATCTTGGACAATTTATAAGCAGATGTTTAAATTTGAAAATCAATTGGGTTCACTTGCAGAATTAATAGAATGAAGAAAAAGCATCTGAACTTCTCAAATGCAGTAAACCATCTGATAAACTTCAATACCCATTCATAATAACTCTTGGCATACTAGGAATAATGAGGAAATCTGTTAGTCTGATAAAGGTATCCCCCAAACAACCTACAGTGAGCAATATTCTTAGTGGTAAAATATTAAAAGCTTCTCCAAGACTAGGAACAATGCAAAGATACCATTCTACCGTCATTTGTAGTCATTATCATATTTGACTTACTAGCCAATGCCATAAAACAAAAAAAGGTGGAAGGCTAAGAAAGGATGGAAAAAAACCTATTATTATTAGGAAACAGTACACATAGAAAATACAAATGAATTTATACATAATTATTAGAATTAATAAGTTGGCAAGATCACTTTAGAAAAATCTAATGCATTTCTATACATATACTGACAAAAAATAGCTAGGAAGTGAAAATTTTAA